CTTCGCATGCGACTGGTCGTTTCGGGCCAAACGATTGAAGTGGCCAACGACCCGCTCATTGGGTCGTTCTTCAAGGACTTGCCCACGCAGTACTACAAACTCACGGACGCCCGTCAATTGGGCTACTCGTTTGATATTAAGGGACTGCTGGGGGACATGTACACCACATGCGGAAGCAGTAGTAGCTCCACCGGTGGCATCGAGAGCGTTCAAGAAGTGAGCCATGCCAACGTGACCATTGACCACGTTGTCGAGCCAGTCGTGCTGGCCGAAAACCAAAACGTGCTGGCGTTCGAAGACGCCGTCCTCACCCAAGCCGACAGCCAAGGACTGACCACGGACGAAGCGTACTTGGAGGTGCAAAAGATGAACTTGTTGCTGCAGGAGAATTGCATGCCGGGCTCCGTCGCGGACTTTACGCCAGAGTTCAAAGCCGAGTGGCATATCACAGGATCGTCCAAGTCGTTTGCCCTGTTGCAGGGCATCAAAAGTGGGACCAATCCCGTCCGCATCGAGCACTGGCAAGACATCCTCTTCAAGTACTACGACTGTCGCGGAGATGTTAAGCAAGTTGCGTAGAATGATGACCAGGGCAGTATATTTGGATTCTCAATTTGATTTACACGAACGTTTCGTTTGTGGTTGGTTAATCGTGACTCTACCCCACCCAAAAACAGTTTGCTACTCCAGCAAAGATAGCCGTGAAGGGGGCGCCCATTTCACGAGTGCAGTGTTTGGTACTTGAATGAATTATTACCCTAACGTTGCATGATGCTTCTACCCCACCCACGAACATTAGGCAGCTTAGACACCCATATAATACCTATTCCTGGGGCTATTTTGCATCGCCAGTGCTCAGTTATCATTAACAACAGTCAGTGAAAGCATAAATCACCGAACGGAATTGTGAGTACCAGGTCGGCCGATTTGATGGCAGCACGTACACTGACGCTTTGATCTTGCATTGCCGCACTGGCATGTAAATCAACCACCTCACACTTGGCGCCACAACGCCCAAAGACATGCACGATTGAAGCAATATTCTATGACATGGTGCCTGGAATATGAGTGTCTAGGCCACTTCACCTAACGTTCCCGTCTACACAGTAACGTTCCTGTACTTTACAGTTAACCCATGTAGTAACTAAAAGTACACCATGAATGGCGATGGTGCAATTCATAGCTGAATTTGAATCCCATGAGGAGCTAGCTGTAGCACTACTTAATTGGGAGAGATGAAACATATCCAAATGTTCTTGTGAGGGTATAGTTGGTGGAGCACTCGCGTAAAAGCCCGTCGTCGGGGCCAGATATCATGTGTAAGCCATTTCCCCCTCCACCGAAATATATGGTACATTCATAGTTTTTGGTGGAGCTGACGTCCATATGTGCGTAGTATGCAAGTACCAAACATAGATAAACAAAACAGCAACCAACGACACCACATGGCAACCAACCACACCACATGACTGTGAATACACCCACTCAGAGCTCGGTCGTCCAAATTTCCAAGTCTTGCATTGTTCATCTTACCATCGCCAACGCGCCATGGTCCTTTCCACTCGCACCTGCATCGTTGCGGCGCTTTCGGTTCTGGCGGCCGTACAAACCCTCGCCCAAACATGCCCCGTACTAGTTGATGTCGACTTGGTTGGCCACGACATTGCTTCCACCGACCAAACGGATCCAGGACAGTGTTGCAGTGACTGTAAAGCCACC